TCCACTTTGAGCATAAGCTCTCATGGCTTTACTTTGGGCTTCCCAAAAGGCTTCCCAAAAGGTCTCATTGCAATGGAGATGTATTCCTTACTTATAAACTCATTATCATTCCCTAAATTAGCCAATGTGGGACTCCCTCCCAACAATCCTCAACCGTTGTCATGTACTTTAACTTGCAGCTACCCTGATGAGTTCGAAAGTACACGTATCATTGGTGAGAGGCAATTCAGAAAAGCCGTGGATTTATTCAGTAAAGCGTCGGAACAGCTCAAGGGAACGGTGGATTATCGCCACTCTTACGTAGACTTCTCCCAGCTCGAAGTGTCTGTTACTAAAGCGGGAGGAGCCACCGAGGTCGTAAAAACTTGTCCTGCAGCTATGGGGTTTGCATTTGCAGCTGGGACAACTGATGGACCTGGAGCATTTGATTTTAAGCAAGGAGATGACAAGGTTTCTATGATTTATTCATATATTTTGGAAAGCAGTTCTTCACACAAATATCCTGATATTTCATTTTTTTTGCCTTTTCTAATCATTCAAGGGCAATGCTTTTTGGAAGTTGGTACGGAATTTACTTAAAACACCCGGCAGCAAACAAATTGCTTGTCAAAGTCCCAAGCCCATTCTGCTTGACACTGGCGAAATGAAGATACCATATGACTGGGCTGTAAGTCTGGCATATATTCTATAAATTTCTTTGGTTAGGAATAACGACTCTTCACAATGGTATGATATTGTCTACTTTTAGCATGAGCTCTCGTGGCTTTCTTTGCTTTGAGCTTACCCAAAAGGCCTCGTACCAACGGGGATGTATTCATTACTTATAAACCCATGATTAACTCCTTAATTAGCCGACGTGGGACTCCTCTCCCAACAATCCTCCCCTCAAATAAAGTACACTATAGAGCCTCCCCTGAGGCCTATGGAGCCCTCGAACAACCTTTCCATAATCGAGACTCGACTCCTTCTTTAGAGCCTTCAAACAAAATACACCCTTTGTTCGACACTTGAGTCACTTTTGACTACATCTTCGAGCTCACAACTTTTTTGTTCGATATTTGAACATTCTATTGACATGGCTAAGTTAAGGGCATGACTCTGATACCATGTTAGGAATCACAGACCCCAGAGTGGTATGATATGTCCACTTTGAGCATAATCTCTCGTGGCTCTGCTTTGGTTTCACCAAAAGACCTCATGCCAATGGAGATGTACTCTTTACTTATAAACCCATGATCAACCCCTTAATTAGCCAATGTCGGACTTCTCTAGAATCTCCCAACAATCCTCAACAAACACTAACACTGCACATTACAATTTTCTTGTACATTTTACTTACAATTTTCTTTGTCAAATAACTTTTCAGCCCTCAATACTTCCAATTCAAATTCTCCGCATTGGGCAGCTTGTCATTCTTGGTGTACCTGGAGGTATAGTAACAATTACTCATCTTTAAGTTCACTTCATTTTATAATTAATTTGTAGATTAGGTAGAATGAAAAGACTAATCCACTTAGTGTAATTTTAATGGGCACTGACTCTCAAGTCTTAGACGTAACCATGATTACTAGGCCCATTTAGCCTTTGATCTGACCTCAGTTGGAGACAAAGATAGGTGGGGCTTCGATATAAGAAACTCAGTGGGAAGTTATCATTTAAACCTCTTATTATAATTCGTTTTAAGAAATGCTTAATGACAAATCATGATAGATTTTACTTCTACACTGTTAATAATGTCTTTAAAAGTTTTTTTTATCGTAAATATTGTCCTTTTTCGACTTTCGCTTGAAGTTTTTAAAACGCGTCTTTTAGGGAGAGGTTTCCACACTCTTATAAAGAATATTTCGTTCCCCTTTCTAACCGATGTGAGATTTTACAATTCACCCCATTCGGGGTCGAGCATCGTCGCTGGCACTCATTTCCCTCTCCAATCAATGTGGGATCTCACAATTCACCCCCACCGGGGCCCAGTGTCCTCGCTGACACATCATCCAGTGTTTGGCTCTGGTACCATTTGTAACACCGAAGGGGGGTGGATTGTGAGATCCCACATCAGTTGGATAGGGAAGTAACATTCTTTATAAGGGTGTGGAAACATCTTCCTAAAAGACGCGTCTTAAAAACCTTGAGGGAAGCTCGAAAGGAAAAGCCCAAAGATGACAATATCAATGGGCAGTGGGCGGTAGGCTTAAGCTGTTATGATTAATTTTTTAAAAATGTTTAATAGAATTCACGACCATGGCTGGGAGAAGGCTTCGGGATGCTGTAAAAACGGTGTTAACTACTGGAGCCAAGAGAGAGTTCAATGGTAATGTTCATGTTGTCATAGCTGGCCTGACTAATACCTATTCTCAGTACGTCACCACCTTTGAAGAATATGAGATGCAAAGATACGAGGTTAGCATCTATACTAATGTTTTATTTTTCGATCTCTAAACTTTTAAAAGTAATCATTTTTGCGTTCTTCCCGACTATCTCATAGAATTCCCGACTATCTCATAGAATACCAACTAGATAGAATACCAACTTTAGCTATGTATATGACTTTAATCTCTCCCAAGCCCAGCGCTAGCAGATATTGTCCTCTTTGAACTTTCCCTCCCAAACTTCCACTCAAAGTTTTAAAACGCGTCTGCTAGGGAGAGGTTTTCACACCTTTATAAAGAATGTTTTCACACCCTTATAAAAAATGTTTTCACACTCAAGAATGTTTCGTTCCCATCTTCAATCGATGTGGGATCTCACAATCTACCCCTCTTTGGGGCGTAGCATCCTCGCTGGCACACCGCTTGATGTCCATCTCCTTTCAAGCCTCAGCATCTTCGCTAGCACACCGCCCGGTGTCTAACTCTAATATCATTTGTAACGGCTCAAACCCACTGCTAGTAAATATGTCATTTTTGGGTTTTTCCTTACGAGTTTCCCCTTAATATTTTAAAATGCATGTACTAGGAGAGATTTTCACCGTCCTTATCAGTTTGGAGACAGAAGTCTAAAATAGACCTTTTGAAAACTTTTAGGAGTTAAATGCACTCAAATAAGATCTTGGTTCGTTGTCAGGGTGCCTCCACATTATACGGTCCACATACATTGGATGCCTACATACAAGAGTTCAGGAAGCTTGCTCAATCCCTCATTGATGGCAGGCCTGTTGAGCCAGGGCCACAGCCCCCTGATCTCCTTGCTAAGCAAATAAGCCTACTCACACCAGTTGTCATGGATGCGACCCCGTTCGGAGTGAGTTTCGGGGACGTGAGATCTGATGTTCCCCTTAACTCCACCTTCAAACGAGGTGACTTGGTGACAGTAACCTTCTGGTCGGGATGCCCCCGAAACGATCTGATGACCGAAGGTACATTTGCTCTTGTTGAAATCCTCCAAAAGAAGGATACTTGGGTTCCAAGTTACGACGACGACGACTTCTGCTTACGCTTTAAGTGGTCGAGACCTTCTCGACTTAGTCCTCAAAGTCTCGCAACCATAGAATGGCGAATACCGCAGACCGCAGTGTCGGGTGTGTACAGAATCAGGCATTTTGGAGCAGCCAAAAGTCTCTTAGGATCGATTCGACATTTCACGGGTTCGTCGAGTGCATTTGTTGTAGCATGAGAGTTTATGAATAATATGTATGCTGGTAGGGAGGGATGTTGATTATCTGTTGCCTAAATTATTCAAGAGTAAAAGTTTATTTGCTAGGACTTTGAATCATGTAGCCTTTCACAGAACACGAGGGGTTATTTGGAAGTTAGATTTTAAAAGCTGTTATAAATTTTTATAAGACTAGAAATTAAATATGATTGGTTATTCATTTTTTCAAAAAAGATTTTATTTTTAAAATATTAATTAAAGAAAATACTCTTAAATTTTGATATTTATTTAAAAAATATTCATAAATTTTTAATATTTTCAATAATATCCTTGAACTTTAATAAATAAAATATATATATATAAAACACCTCTATCATTCAATTTAAATGGAAACTATTAATACTCTGTTTCAAAAATAGTACTTTAAATAGTGTTTTAAAAATATCGTTAAATATTAAAAAGTTTCATTAAGAGCTTTCAATTTCTTTAAAAAAATTCAAAATTCGAAGATTTTTTTTTTTTTAATTAAGGGTACTAATAAAATTTTGGAAAACTTTAAAGTTACTTTTTAAACACTCTTAAAATTGATGGATATTTTGAAACATAATATTAACAATTTCTAATAAATTCTTAACCTTTTTTAGATCAGATTTAGAAATTTATTAGACACAAAATCTAAAATTTATAGGAATTTATTTGATAATTTTCAAAGTTCAAACATTGAAAGTTTAACTTCTTAAATATGTTTTAAGGTTTAGATTTGATAAAAAAAAATCGGGACTAACTTTGTAATTTAATATTTTAAAAAGTTAAATTACAAATTTAGTCATCAACTTTGTATTTTGTGTCTATTTAGTCTCTAAACATTCAAAACTAGAAATTTAGTTCCTAAAGTTTAAAATAAATTAAAAATTCTTCCATTTACTATAATCGACAAAATTTAAATTTATTTATAAAAGTTTTAAATTTTTTACTATACAAAATTGTACAAAATAGAGACGTTAAAAAAAAGTATATATTTTAAACCAACTTAACCTAAATTTATTGTAATTTTTAAAGTATATATTTTTGCTTTATAAAATAATTATAATTATATTTTTAAAATTATTTCTAACCATTTATAAAACTTAATTAAACATTTAAAAATAAATAAATAAATATTTTATGACTTACATTATTAAAAACAAAATTTTGAATAAAAACACGTAAAAGTTGTATATATGAAACGTCCTCAACGGTCAGAATTTTTCCCAACGACTATATATATATCTATAGACTGCAGAATCATTAAAGCGGAGTGGCTGTGTGCAGTGGGCGATATCATGGAGGTCTCTGTAGTATACAGAAGGCCGCATCGATCGAGGTCCAATGGTAGCAAGTTAGCGTGATGTGCTAGTTTTCAGAGAGAGTTCACTTTGTGCTTTGAAGGCGAAATCTCTGTATTTTCTCCATGATTTTGAGATGAACAAGAAGCATGAATACAAAGCACAAGCTCTTCTGCAAAATCGCGGATGCGATGGATGCTGCTGCTAGGGCCAAAATTTCCGATCTTCTTCATCGCAATCCCTCATATATCTGTTTGGCTGGAAAGAAAATGCCGGTATAACATCTAGTTACTTACTTCGTCTTGACGTCGAATTCATGATTGCGGTTTCCAAATGCTTCGCGATGTGACTAGGGATCTTGGAGCCATGATTTCAATTACTTTTAGTTGATCAATTGTAATTGTTTGAAATTTGTTATATCTTTTCCATCTAATCGCTTATCTGTTTCTGTTGTTCTTTAATCAAGCAGTTAAATCATGTAAGGAAATTCGTTCCTTCAGTCATCATGAAGTTTGAAGCCCGATATGTTCTTGATGGTCGAGGAAGTTCGACTGCTGAAGCGGACTTGTATTATTCGTCTGCATCAATTCCACAGGCATGTAAGGTTCCCTGGAAATTAAAATTAATCTGTCTGCTAAGAAACATAATTATCGTTAAAGCCAGGCATCAAATTGTTTTGGAATTGAATTAACCTAATTTTATCGTGAAATTTGAAGTCTAGGCTACCCCTAAGGTTCTCTTAACTAAGTTTTTGTTTATGCTGTTTTTAGTAATCTGAATTCATTAGGATAATCAACTCTGAGTTGAACATTATACATACCATTGGTTCTTAGTAGAAGAACAATGGTAAAATTACCCTGAATCGGACTCGTCCGATGATTATTGATTAAACACATAAGATTGGAGCGTCGATTCTCTTCTCAATATGAAAGGACAACTCTCAATGTATACTGATTTGAGTCAGAAACTCGTTGCCATCTATCCGGCTCTCCGCTCTTGAAATTTTGCTCAACGATAATGGTATTTTGTCTTGGACAGTTTTGGTTGGAATATGATCATGCCTGGAGACATTCATGATTTATTATCCTTGATTTTAGTGAAAGGAAATGCCAGAGCATTGTGACTAGCCTTTAACCATTAGTATCCTTATAAAGATTATAATATTTATTTTTATATAATTGGAGATCTTTTTGGTTATCCACCGATGGTGGTTTGGGGTTTCTTATCCCTCTTGATTATTTCATTGATCTGTTTCTTTCTCAAAAAAATGTTTGCTGATATTGAGTCACACGGCTTGAAGAGCTTCTTTCTAGAGGGTAGTGCTGAATTCCTCATAGCCATTTTATTTGGAATCGGTAATGGTGGCACTTTCTCTATTTTGTCTTCCTATGTTCTTTGCTATCTTTGGCGAAAAGGAACTTTTGAGTCCGCATATGCAAATGGTGACGTTCGATGGTTCCACTTCCTCGGACAATGTATTTGCGAATGTGTTAATTATGATATCTCTGCAGTATGAAGTTCGAGCAGATGCTATATTACTTGTGTGACATCGGTTTTAAAAACTTTGAGGAGAAGCTCGAAAGGGAAAATCTAAAGAGGACAATATTTGCTAGTAGTAAGCTTGGACGGTTACAAATGGTATTAGAATTACACACTGGGCGATGTGCCAGCGAGGAGGTTGAGCCTCAAAGGGGTTGGAAAATGAGGCAGTGTGTCTATGCTGGCCCCAAAGGAGGGTGGATTGTGAGATCCCACATCAGTTGGAGAGCAGAACAAAACATTATTTATAAGGGTGTAGAAGCCTCGTTTTAAAAACTTTGAGTAAAAGCTCGAAAGAGAAAGCTCAAAGATGATAATATCTGCTAGCAGTTGGCTTGAGCTTTTTCACCTACCTTGCTTGTTTCTCACCGGCTAAAGAGAGTCGTGATTGGATTCTTGAAACTTAGGACATCCATTATATCATTTAGCATTTTTCATATGCTTTGATAGTTAACAGTTTTTGGCCTACTCTTGAGAAAATTTTTTGAAAAAAAAAAAAGGATATGGTGTTTTGACAGTGTTCGAGCTGAACCGAAAACCGAAAAAGAAGGTGGAATGCGAAAGACATGATGGAGGCGCTGCTGTAACACACAGGTATCCCCTTTTCTTAATTGATCTTTTTGATTTCCAAATCTAAATGTTAAAAAAGGGTTTCTAGATTGTTTTTCTTTCCGTGTGATTTAAAACCTTACACAACAAAAAAAGGGCTGTATGTGTAGTTTCGTTTTTCTTCAAGTTATTGGTAGCAGGTGTACTAAGAGTCTAGGATAACCCAATTAGATTCTCATAATGCACCTCAATATTATCTAAATGTTGTGACATGATATAAAAATGATATGAAATAGGTAATGGTACGAGATATGTGATAAATTGACATATTTATAATATGATATATTGTGATGCGATATGATATGTTATGGTATATATATGATGAAATGTTATGTTAGAAGCATGAAATATTATGTTATGTTTTCTAGATTGTATATGATATGAATGACATAGAATCACAATAAATGACATGAAATATAACTCCGTTAGAATTATATATGATATGAGAACTGAAAAAATGGGAAATGACATAGTATAAAATGAGAAATGATAACGGGTTATATTTAATAATGTTGAAAATGGAAAAATATTGGGACCTCATGCATTATTTGTGCTCATGCATTGGGATACCCCTATTCCATCACGAGGGTACGGCCGCATACACCACTAGGCAAGTGAAGTATCATTATGTTTTACATAATGCTACCGTGACGATTACTAATTCTAATGGGTATCTAGCATAAGGAGCTACCAAAGAAGGCTCGCCCGACAAAAAGAGGGGACAACGATCTGCGAACTGTTTATTCGGACATATTTGACCCTTTGAGCTAATTGATACGATGCACCTTTACAAGATAAGGTTTGAAGGTCTACTTTCAACTCTTTTGGTGATACCTTTTTTAGGAACATAATATTTTGCTACTTTTGGCTTGATTCTTGTTGGCACTCTTTCCAACCTATACTGCTTCGGGCTAAAGATTTACTGTGTGCTTCTATTCCAAACCCACTTTACAGCCAAATTTACTTTCTTGAGCAGATTCTATTAGGCTCGTCAAATAACTTCATTCACTCCCATGAACTGAAGTGGCAATCTTGAATCCCTACTTTTTGGATTTGGTTTAAGGATTTCAAGCTCAAATACTCATATGACACCCTTTCCGGTTGATCTGTGTTATGTATCGCCGTCAGCCTCACGATTTTAAAACACTTTGATTACTGTCAGCCTCACGATTTTAAAACACCTCTGCTATGGGAAGGTTTCTACACTCTTATAAGAAATGTTTCATTTCCTTCTCCAACTGACATATGATCTCACAATCCATCCACTTGAGAGCTCAGAAGTTTCCACACTAATCCCCTTGAGAGTCCAGAAGTTTCCACACTTTTATAAGAAATGTTTCGTTCTCCGTTCCAACTGATGTGAGATCTCACAATCCACCCCCTTGAGAGCCTAGAGGTTTCCACACCTTTATAGGAAATATTTTGTTCCCCTCTCCAAACAACGTGAGCTCTCACAGTCCACCCCCCTTGGGGGGCCCAATATCCTTGCCGACACATCACTCGGTGTCTAGCTCTGATACCATTTATAATAACTCAAGTCTACTGCTAGCAGATATTATCCGTTTTGGCCTGTTACATATCGTTGTCAGCCTCGCAATTTTAAACACGTATGCTAGGAAGAGATTTCCATACTCTTATAAAGAATACTTCGTTTCCATACCTTTGAATCTCACATAAATGATAACATCTTCATCGATAAGAAACAACCTTTTGGATGAAATAAAATCAAATTCATATGAATGTGAAGGACCTTTTGTTCAAACTTTCAAGTGGATGTTGTCTGTCTTTGTTCTTAGTGGCACATGGGGCTTCACAAATATTGCTTTTTCTTTGATAGCAAAATTGCCTTTGTTATCCACTATTTAGCCCTTTCTTTGAATCAGTCTCGAGCTGTTGAGTTGCTTTCTCGGCAGCTCCACGCTAAAGTAGCACTAACTTCTCCCAAACACCCTAAATTGTTCCTCGTACTACATGATGCAAAAAAGATTTCCCAACACTTGTTCAAATCGCCTTTTTTTTTTATAAGAAAATATCTTATATTATTTTAATGCCTTTTTTTAATCGATATATACGAATACTATATATATATATATATCATGAATTACACCATTAGTTTAAAAGGATTTAATCAGATTTTAAAAGAATTTTAATCGATATAATCTTTCTTTGTCTTATTATTATTCTCAATTTTTGTTGAAGTACATATTTGGACTAAACTATGATAATTTCATTTTAATATGATGTGATGTGTTATATATATATATATAGAGTTTAGGCACACCCACAAAGTGAGATGATTGAATCTCAATAGATTCTCAATAGGTTTTGATTCGATGTTGAATACACATTTGTCCTCATTCTTAGGTGCACTCAAAAGAACTTGTATTTGGGACCCTCTGCCTTAGTGCCCATTGATTGATATATATAGTATAGTATGTTGCTATATTTGATTGTCAAAGGTGTAGTTGTCGTAGAGAAATAATTTTTATCGAATGTTTTGAAATAGAAAAGAAAAATAAGGAAAGTTATATTTGATCTAAATAACCTTATCTATGGTATGGTTGAGGTATGACTTTGTGTCTCACGTGATGAATGTGTTGTATTGGTCTTATTATATTGAATGGACCATATCATATAGATTTTATGAATTTAATACATGAAATTTTAATTTTTTTTTAATACAAATAAATAAAACTTAGAGGTTGAAAAACCTATCAACCGGTATAATTAACAATTTAGCTCTTATATTTTCAATTTTATAAGTATCTAATCTATAAATTTTAGTAGTAATAATTTAATTTTTTATTTTAAAATTGGTAACATTTTAGTCTCTATTATAAAAAAAAATTGGGTTAAAAATTAGTATTATGTCGTTGAATTTTAATTTTAATGAAAGTAATAATTTAGTTATTTAGTTTTAATATTTTCAATTTTTCACTCTACGATTAAATTTTTAAAAAAAATTTATTATCTTTTTATAAAAATTTAAAGACTTAGGAATTAAAAATTTTACAAAAATTAAATTATATTTGGAGTATAGTCTCACTCTCATCTCACAGACAAAACTGTGTCGTATCGACTGGTAGCTTCATGATCCTTAATTAATCGGAAAAGGCTGCAAATTCTGTCACTCCCCACAGGTACCTCCTTCAATAATCAGTGTTCATAACGTTTCTTTTTTTAAAAAAATTTAATTTTCTTTTCTCTTTGAATAACAGCAATCGCAACTGACACGCCGAAAAAGAGTTTCAGTGTATGTCCCTATTCATATTTTCTTTGATAGAGATAGAGAATCACTGATCAACAAACAAACAAAACCCCATGACCCCACGTTTCCTCTCTCTCTCTCTCTCTCTCTTGATTAATCTTTGAAGCTGGCTGAGCGTTTGATTTCCTGGGTGTTATGAAAATTTCGTGTTCTTCTTTGTGGTAAGTTTTCCTAATTTTTGATTTCGTGTTCTAATTGTACGTTTTGAAATGTTTATGGAAACTGTTCATGATTAGAGTAAAAAGGAAGGGGGGGAAATGGGTCTGTTCATCTTGCTACTGTTTGTGTTAATACATATCTTTTGGTTTTCGTTAGTCGAATGCGATTTCCCCATCTGGGTTTCTCAGGATGTCCGCAGTTCTAGCTCCTCGTGGTGACCCGATCCTTGCAGATCCGAGTTCCCTGCCTTATCGCGATGCTCGTTCAGCAGCTGGTAGCAGCAGTAGCAGCAGTGACCTGTCGGTTCTTGATGATTCCGATGACCAGTCGTGGCACTCGGTTTTCGACTCCACGGCTTGGGGATCTCATGGCGACGGCCTGTTTTCCGGCGAGATTGAGGGCGTTCCGGACGCTGAGACGGGTGGTTTCATCTCGGGAAGCTCGTCGGAGGTGGATTTGGAGAGTGGGGATTTGGAGGTGAAGGTGCATTTGGGGAAGATCGAAAGGGATTGCAGAATTTGTCACTTGGAACTGGAAAGCGGCGGCGGAAGAGATCATAATGATACTCCGATTCTGCTTGGTTGTTGCTGTCGTGGTGATTTGGGTACTGCTCACAAGCATTGTGCTGAGACTTGGTTCAAAATCAAAGGAAATACGTAAGTAATAAACTCTCATTTGTTCTTAATCTTTTGATCATCAATGGTTTTGTTCAAGTTTTGCCTCTTGCTAGCAGTTTAGATGGAAATTTATCGAAAATCTTAGCTAATTTGTTGGATCCTCTGCTTCTTTCTGAGTTTTCTGCCATGAATCTTCCCCAAATAGTTAATCTCTATCTTGAATTCAGTAAATTCATTCAGATCTTCTGCAGTCAGTATTTGGTGTTCTTCATAGTTCTTACTGAAGTATTCAGCTCAATTTGATTGGATTATTCGAATTCTTGTTTTGAAACCTTTAATCAACTAGATTCTGTGTGTAAAGCTTTACTATTGTCTCATGAGTATGCAAGGTGTTCTTCAGACATAAACAAGGTAAAAACTGAAGTGACTCCTCGTATGTTTGAGCATGACTGTTCTTGAGTATAGAATTATCTTTTCTGTATATCTTGAATGAATCAGATTGTTTAACACTCTAATAGTTACTTTCGGTGTGAGAACCGACCTACATCGGTTGGAGAGGGGAACGGGAAACGAAACATTCTTTATAAGGGTGTAGAAACATTTTTATAATAGACATTTTAAAACCGAGAGGCTTACGGCAATGCATAACGAGCCAAAGCAGACAAAATCTGCTAGCAGTGAGCTGTTATAAATAGTATTAGAGATAGACACCGAGTAGTATGCCAGCAAGGACGCTGGCCCCCAAAGAGGGTGGATTGTGAGATCTCACATCGGTTGGAGAGGGGAACGAAGCATTCCTTATAAGGGTGTGGAAACTTATCCCTAACAGACGCGGTTTAAAATTGTGAGACTGACAACATAACGGGTCAAAGCTAATAATACTGCTAGCAGTGAGCTTAGGCTGTTACAACTAGTATTAGTGCTAGACACGCTGTTACAACTAGTATTAGTGCTAGACACCAAGCAATGTGTTAGCAAGGATGCTGAGTTTCCAAAGGGGTAGATTGTGAGATCTCACATTGGTTAAAGAAGGGAACGAAACATTTCTTATAAGGGTGTAGAAACTCTTCCTTAACAAACGTGTTTTAAAAACGGCACAAAATGAGTATTAACGTTATCGTTATGAGTATTAACGTTATCGTTATGAGTATTAACTTGACAAGCAATATGATATTTTTCTTGCAGAATTTGTGAGATATGTGGAGCAACTGCACAAAATGTTGCAAGTCAACAAATAAATGAACCGAGCAATGCGGCTGCTGCTGCTGCTGCAGTAGCATCCTCAGCTATGACAGCACCCCTAACTCTGGTCGAGACTCGAACGATCTTTCACGGTCGACGCATTATGAACTTTCTGCTTGCTTGCATGCTCCTTGCATTTGCAATGTCCTGGCTTTTTCACTTCAAGTTAATGTCATAGGCTTAGGAAGATCGCCAGTAGAAGAAAACTGGGGGAATTCCAAGTTCTTTAGGCCTTTGTACATATACTTACACTTTGTTTAGTTAATTTTGATGAGGTTGGTTTCATTAGAGGCATTCCTTAGTTGTGGTTTTGGTGATTGAATAAACAGGCAACTCCACAGGAACAGACAATTCGCACAAGAGGATTTGATCAAAAAGTCGAAAATTCAAAAATTCAAAGAGATCGGGAGATTTCTCACATAAACATCCAATCAAATTCGATCATACCTGTTTCTTTTACTTTTCACATGGATCTACAATATACAATAATTAACGTGAAATCCCTGTGCATAGGCATCTCAACAGTAAAAGCAAGCAAAATTCAACGAAACGAATCTGTTCTAGAAGCCATTTGTAACAGTCCAAGCTCATCAACCTCACAGTTTTAAAACGCGTCTACTAAGGAGAGATTTCCACATCTTTACAAGGAATGTTTCTTCCTCTCTCCAACCAATGTGGGATCTCACGATCTACCCTTTGAGGGCCTAGTGTCCTCGTTGGCACATTGCCCAGCGTCTAACTCTAATCCCATTTGAAACAGCCCAAACTCATCATTAACAAATATTGTCTGCTTTAGCCCATTACGTATCGTCTTCAGCCTCACGGTTTTAAAACGTATTTACTAGGAAGAAATTTTCACACTCTTATAAGGAATGGTTCGTTTCCCTCTCCAACCGATGTGGAATCTCACCATTAGCTAACCAACTCAATCACCTGTAAACTGCAATATAGATGAGCCTAAGAAAGAAAGTTACAAGTTGAAAGAGAAAAAGGGTCCCATTCTAATTGATATTAATGTTCCCCACAGGATTGGTGGGTTTGAAATCAAGCACAACCTTGTCGAATGTGTTCCTCACATGGTGGCAGACCACCATGAAGTTCTGACACGCATCTTTCAGAACCTCTCTTGCAGGATCACCTGTCATGTTCCATCAAAACCCTTCTCATCAGTATCTCTAATGCTAATGCTTGGTCACTTCCAACTATTTTTCTATCGTCAAATCAACTAACGTCTATCTAATACGCACGTCACATCAATATTGAGATGCTAGTATCCATAGTAAGAACAAGATAGCCACCTTATAAATCTTGTTTAAGTTATGAAACTAAATAGTCACGATCCATAAATCAAGTTCCAAGATGGATGGGGTTCTAGCAAAGCTACAAGGATCCAACTTGTGTTCTTTAGAAAAGGATCACATTTCGCATAGAGCCATAGACTATATTTCTCATGAATGCATAAATTGGATGTGTATAAAGAAGAAAAACAGGCCAGAACAAGTCTAATCATTAAAAACACTAAAAATGAGAACCGATCTCTTGCACTTTAGAGAGTTAAACTACCTCAAAATATTACTTGTTGTCTAGACTCTAAGAATGAGGAATGTTGTAACCACAAAATGTCACTCTTAGACTACGAGATGATGTAACAAGTCATTTAAAAGTATACAAAACTATCCGTACCCTTATTCAGGAGCAAGGGACGGAAGGACCCATAGATCTACTTTCAGCTGCTCAATAAGAAAAACGTCGTCTAGGCATTCCCTCTTGCACCAATCTCTCCTATGTCTAGGACGTTATCTAGGTCAAGAGTCATAGTTAATTGTTGTTTTAGCTTGAAGGAGAAGCTTTTGATTAGTTATTTCTTCCGGACTATATTACTATCCTTACAAACTTTACCCGTCCGGATGTTACTCCTAAAAGAGGCATGGACTACTAGGAGAAGCTATTAAAGTGTTAAGCTCTAAGTAAATAGCCTTTAGAGCATACTTTCCTATCAATTGCAGCACTTGTGGGGTGAATTGAGTACAACTCTCTTACACGGTAAGGATTTGAATTTAGGGATACACAACCACGTCTAGTTTCATTGGGTACCTCGAGAAATGATCATAGTAAGAAGAGAAGATTGACATGATTAAATTTGCTCCAATTTTAACTTAGGAGATCTTAAGCTAACTCTTAACGTATCATCACACATTTAGATATTGTGAATCAATACCAATACTTGAGCTCACACGTTAGGGGAGTGCACAGTTTGGGAGGGAACAAGAAAAAATAGTATCCATACTGCATTCAGTTCAGTCTTCAGGTCTTGGGTGTCACGGTCATACTTGTCCAAGGCGTGTTGCCCATAGCCGCATGCTCGTGGCATGCCAAAGCCCTTGCCTTGTATCACTTTACTATTTTCATGTTGTATAGTTTCCTTATTGTCTTTCCTAAATGTATGACTGTCTGATAGACATGAAATGCTCCAGAATGTACTATAGGGAGATGCGACCAGTCGTCAACTCCTCCCACCTAGATTTTGTATGATCGTTTGGTGAAATCACGTCTAGGCCTACTAGGCCTGAATCGCCTCAAAATATACTATAGGGGATGCGACTAGTTGTCAATTTCTCCCTACCCGAAAAGTTATATGCTATTTAAGTCATTGTGCTGCCTTTTGCTTGTATCGCTTGTATCATACAATGTTGTTTTCAATCTTTCTCTCTTAATCTTCCTTTTAAACTCTCCTACAAAATCTCTCTACCCTCCTTTTATAAAACTTTCTTCTTAAATGGGATCAGAGGTTTGAGCATACATGGCCCGCTCATAGGCGACGCGATCCTAAGTAGGTTTGGCTCACTCAGTGCTGAAAGTTAGTGTCGCACAATCGCCAAATTTGTTGCCAACAAAAGTGCGATTGTGACACCGACCATAGAGCTAGAATATAGCTGTATTCTAGTTCGCCTCTCATAGGATAGTACTGGAGTGCAAAATTCCAGTTCAATTCACAGTTAATTAGTTTCCAAGGTATATGAATCAACAAGTTTTCCATTAAGCCATCAAAAATTCTAAAACCAACCAAAATAACTACACCATACCTTAACGTACCCCTAATCACAAGAAAATTACGTCCACAAAATAACATAGAATTTGCAATACCAATCTCTTAATACAAGTTCCTCAGATTCTTCATAACACAAACTACAAAAATCAGTCAATTGAATGGTGAATTCAACGAGGACCAACCCAGGCAATGCTTACACAAGCACAGGGAATAAGCAACAAACATTCGCACCGCCCCTTGTTGATAAGTGAACTGATTATCAATAGAGAGAAAGAGAGAGAGGAGGTGAGAACTGATTACCAATTGGCGAGAAGACCGAGCTTGCTGCCGACGGTGGCCGGCGACCGCCCGGCGAGTTATAGAATGATAGAGAGCAGAGACGGCGGGAGAGATCACAAAAACAAAAAAGAGCTGAATGGGGTTTAAAGGTTTAGGCCCTTTTTCTTAGATACTTTGGTTCGATTAGACCGAACCAAGTCCAATTTAGCTGGTTCGAGTTGGTTCGAGTTTGGTCCTTGATCTAATGACCGAACCAAGTCCAATTTAGGTTCAGTTTTTTTTTAATTATTTTATTTCATACCCTCAGCACTTATTAATTTCAACTATCATTCAAATGATGGTATTTTTTAAAAAGTTTAGGACCTAAATAAATATTTTGTTTTATTCTCAATTAACTGTCGTCTGGGTTACAACTCCGGTTTGAAAAATTCTTGCATTTATCTTCGATCAAACCATTTTATAAAGTGACTTAAGAGATTTTTCGCTCAAAATCTAAAGAAAATAAGTCAAATTGGTTCAAACTGGATTGACCCGTTCAGACCGTATTAAACCGATAATAAATCGTATTTTTTTTAAAGTTTAGGGACTCAAATAAATAATTTGTTTTATTCTCGGTAGACGTTGTTGGATTACAACAAGTCAAATTGGTTCAAACTGGATTGACCCGTTTGAACCGTTACCCAAGCTGGTTCGGTTGAACCTAACCAGCCAAGAATCGGGTTTTCAGTTTAGATGCCTCGAAAACCGAAAGGGCTCGACAAGGCTACAAATAAGTATCAGTTAGGTAAAATTCTTCCCATTGCACCGTTCCAGGGATTTAGCAGCGGGGTTTTGCCTTCTCTGTCAACTACTGATCTGATTCATCGAATCCATCAAAAGACTGAGCTACGATCTTGAAATTTTCCATTGGCAGTTCATTCGAAGTGAGTTTGTATCGATTGTCATTTCCATTTGTTCTAAATAAATTGTTCCTTTTTGGTGGGTTATTGAGTTTTGGGATTGTGATTTTGTTTGATTCAGAATCTCAATGGCTTCTCCGAACGATATGCAATCGGCTATGGACAAGGAACAGGTTGGTTTCTATGTCTTTATTCGATTTTTCCTCGTTTTTGCAAATTCATAGCCGTGATTTGGGATTCTAGTATTTGAATCTGTGCCTTATTCTTGTGGATTTTTCTAAATTGGACAAATATAACTGTTAGGGCTCGAAAGAGAGAGATAGAGGATGAATGTATGACGAAATTTTCTATTTGTTACTGGAATCTGTCCATTTAGAGCGATTGATATGTTCAATTTATTAGATTTTGATGAATTTTACCATGTAGATATAATTTAAATGTACTTCGTAAATTCATAATTATTAACACAAACTAATTTCAATTTTTTTGCATTGGAGCAGATATTTGGTATGGCAGAAAAGGAGATGGAATATCGAGTTGAATTGTTCAACAAGTAGGTTTTATTACACTTTTTAATGAAAATATTTGGGAAATGAGAGATATATAGAAAAGGAGATGGTGAAAGATTTTATGTGTGTTTCTACCTTCTTCATAGATTTGGCCTGATGCCTTTGTCTTCTTTTTTTTTCTTTCAGGCTTACACAATCATGTTTTAACAAATGTGTTGATAAGAGGTAGGAGAATTGTCCTGCATTTCTATCTCTGAATATTAAGCTGTAGTTATGTATGGTCTTTTGTCTTTTAACAATTACTTTCTATTTTAGGTACAAGGAATCTGAGCTGAATATGGGTGAAAATAGTTGTATTGACCGCTGTGTTTCCAAGTATTGGCATGTAAGCTCATCTTTCTCTTCTATTCTCTGTATTTCTTTTAGTTTATGAGATATGCAGTGATCAAATAGTACAACAGCACTTGTTTTCCATCTCATAAAAATTTAACCACATTCCATCACGATTGAAAGCTCAAAATCGTGTTGTCCTTATTCATATATCATGTTTAAATAAAATCTTTGTAGTTTTTTGAAGGAAATTTAAATGAAACCATGTGTTTTGTTGTCTGCTTACTATCTTCAAATGAACTCTTGTTATGGGTATGGTAGAATCAATCATATTTGATTTTGAGATATGGATGTGCATTTGATAAACGAGTTCAGATGTTTTCTGATAAAGCATAAGCCATTGGTAGATTCATCTGATTATGAGCTTGAATTTTCTTTTTGACTTCAACAACGAGTGAGGTTGGGAGAATCGAACCTCAAACCTCTTGGTTTGGGATATATGCTTAAACCAATTATGCTCAGGTTGACACGAGCTTAGGACTACTCTCTCCTTGCATTCCAAAATATAGAAATTTTATACAGCTGTGTCCAAATTTCTAACTAGGCGATGAAACTCTTGTATAGATCAATTGGCTTGCATTTGATTGTGAATCTACATTTCATAATTCGAGAGTACACATAGGAGATACGTTGAGAATATTAATCGGATAATATTACGGCATAGTGGCAATTAGACAGGGGTGACTTGTCCGAGGTTGGGCTTTGGGAGAGAGATGGCCCTCTCGAAAGGCTACTAATATTGTACTTTATCTTTCGATATTGGAATACAATTCTATTGTGTTTCATGTTATGGGGATTCTAGCGAATGATTAGGTGCATTGTGAGATCTCACATCGATTGGAGAGAGGAACGAGTGCCAACGAGGACGTTGGACTCCGAAAGGAGGTGGATTGTGAGATTCCATATCGGTTGGAGAGGGGAACAAAGCATTCTTTATAAGGGTGTGGAAACCTCTCCCTAGTAGATGCGTTTTAAATACCTTGAGGGAAAACCCGAAAGAGGCGGTTGGCTTTGATTGTTACAACTTACATGGTCTATGGGACTCTTGATGGCCACAGTTTTCACTACTAACTTAAGGATGATTCCTTCAACATAATTTTAAATTCTTTCCTCCCTATCTCAAAAGATATTCACTTCTTCGATTAGCTTATTTACGATACAACAATATCTTTGCATGAACTTGTATCATCTGTTTTTGTTGACTACTTGAGTCCATTCTACTGATGAAGTTTTTGAATTCAACTCTGGTATTGATTCTTAGTTTGCTGTGTTTCAGGTAACTAATTTAGTCGGCCAGCTACTCGGGTCGGGTAGACCTCCTATGTGAGCTGATTCTTGATCTGAGTAATTGTTTGGTGAGTTGGGAATGAAGAACTATGAATTATGCATTTTTGGCCTGTTTAATTCTCCCATCTCATGAAATACTTTGTTTTTCTGTTCGAGAAGGCATTGATAATGGCATTATTTCATCTATAAGTGTGATGTGATTATGTTAGCCTTTGTTTCGTATTTTGTTTAAAAAATATTTTAAAATTCTAAAAATTTCAATAATATTTTTAAATTAAAAAAAAAAACTTTACTCAAAGAAAACAAAAACAAAGATTAAATCATTAATATTTTATTTAAAAATTTTCTTAAATTTTTAAAATTGTTTTAAAATTTCTAAAAGTTTAAATAATTAAACTTTTTTAGAAGCGTTAAAATTTTTACAAGTTTTTTTAAAATACTTTTATCTTTATTATATGATATAAATCGTTGTGAACTGAAATTTAAATACTTTCGTTTTTAAAAAATGTTAAAATATTAATAAAATTTTAAAAGTTTTATTTCAAGAATATTATGTAAATTCTTGAGAGTTTAAAAGTTTTATTTTAAGAGAAATAAGGTATTTTTATTGATTTAATCTTTATTAAAAATACATGTGAGACAAAAAAAGCGCCAAAGGTAACAAACACCACATATTACAATTCCAAAGGTTAATTCCTTCAGCCGGAAATCTCAACGGACTTCACATCCATTTTCCTTTCTTCCGCCTTCGGCACTGTCACAGTCAGTACTCCGTTCTCCATAGATGCCCTAATTTCCTCCATTTTCGCATCTTCCGGCAGCCGGAATCTCCTCTGGAACATTCCACTGCTTCGCTCCATCCGGTGCCATTTCTCGTTTTTCTCTTCTTTCTCTACTCTCCTTTCGCCGCTGATCTGAATCACTTTTCCGTCTTCTATCTCCACTTTCACTTCCTCTTTTTTCAGTCCAGGCAGATCGGCTTTCAGAACATGAGCCTCCGGCGTCTCCTTCCAGTCTACACGAGCGTTCACCATAGCTGAAGTTTCACGAGCAATTTCCGGAAAGTGAGATGAAAGTGATGAAGGAAAGTGAAAATCGAATGGATCTGAGAGATCGAATGTGGCAAATGGATCGAAGATGCTGCTCCGTTGGCCACCGAAAAAGCTTGGAATCATCGACATCTTCAGAGGTTTAGTTGAAGAAATTGATATACGACTTGAATCGGAGATTTGAAATCGAGATTCGGAAGCGCTTTGATTGAACTCAACGATTATCAGAGGATAATTTGATGGTTTGAAGTTTCTGAATGGTGAAGAAAGTGAAGGAGGTGAGAATTTATGGCGCCTGCCGAAGATTCTGGTTTTCTCTGGAAGTTTCTCTCTTTTTCGAAATATCCTCGCCTCCGTCGTCGAATGAACCTTCTGGGCGTTCAGCCAATTATGATACAATGGGCTTCTTTTATGGGCCTTACTAATTTGACATACCCTACGTATTTAGAAGATTCCATTTTAGAACAAACCTTAGATCCACGTTCTCACTTTTATAAGCAATATTTCGTTCCTCCCTTCAACTCATTTGGGATCTCACAATCTTCAACCCTATTGAGAGCTCAGCGTCCTCGCTGGCACATTGTCTGATAATCTGGCATCGATATCATTTGTAATAGTCTAAACTCTCCACTAATAGATATTGTGCTCTTTGATTTTTCCTTCCAGATTTCAAAACGCGTCTACTACGAAAAGATTTTCACATTCTTATCCGAAATGTTTTGTTCCCCTCCTCAACTAATGTGGGATCTCACGATCTTCAACTTGATAAAGCTTATTCGTGAGAGCAATCCAACCCAACTCATCTATTAATGGGTTCGTTCGAATTGGATGTCCGAATTGAACACCTTGACTAATTAATTCAGAGGGGTAAAAACGGCTAGGGAGTGAATTCATAAAATTATCAATTGCAACTCTAGTAGTGGAACAATTTATCTCTGGTGAGCGTTGAAGGAGAAAAACCAATGAGTGAGAGGAGGAACTAAAACGACCCGTGATTGAGTAGCATGACTACCGAGGAAGAAAAGGTTATACTAAGAATGACTAGCAAGCGAGATGAAATGAGGAAGAAACAAGGAGGAAATGGTGGCGAGGTGAGTGAGCGTTTGATAACAGGTGATTCATCTAAGCATGTGACAAGCATCGAGGTCGAGGTCGAGCAAGAGAAAGGAGAAATAAAAAAATGGTTATAGTCTAAAGTGGTTAAAAACCAAATCTAACCTTTACGAGTTGAGTTAGATTGGCTTTGAATTTTTTAAGTTGTCAAATTCGATCAATAGTTCTACTGAATAGAGCTGCGGAGAAAATATAAAATTTAGTGGTATTTTTATTAATTTTTCATTTTATAAAAACAAAGAAATTTCTGGAGAAAGCCAGAATCTCCGCCTAGTCGCTATAAATACTCGCCTCTTTCAATTTCTTCCCCAATCAGAAACTCCAAACCCACAATTTCGCGTGGAATTCATTCGAAGCGCTTCCAATTCTCGATTTCAAATTTCTCATCATTTCAATTTCTTCAACTAAACCTCAGAAGATGTCGATGATTCCAAGCTTTTTCGGTGGCCGACGGAGCAGCATCTTCGATCCATTTGCCACTTTCGATCTCTTAGATCCGTTCGATTTTCACTTTCCCTCTTCTATTTCATCTTACTTCCCTGAAATCGCTCGAGATACTTCTGATCTGATGAACGCTGCTGTTGATTGGAAGGAGACGCCGGAGGCTCATGTAATGAAAGCCGATCTGCCTGGACTGAAGAAAGACGAAGTGAAAGTGGAGATAGAAGAGGGAAAAGTGCTTCAGATCAGCGGCCGAAGGAGCGTAGAGAAAGAGGACATAAACGAGAAATGGCATCGGATCGAACGAAGCAGTGGGAAGTTCCAGACGAGATTCCGGCTACCAGAGGATGCGAAAATGGAGGAAATTAGGGCATCAATGGAGGACGGTGTTCTCACGGTGACGGTTCCCAAGGCCAAGGCGGAAGAAAAGAACGCGGAGGTGAAGTCAGTTGAGATTTCCGGCTAAACAACTGAATATTTGGCACGGATTTTGTGTACGCGCTAAACTATTTTTCATTCTTTGTAATTATATTGATAAATTGTGTGTTGCTGATTTTGAGCCTATAAGTGTATGCAATGGATCGATATCTGTAAATTGGCTTGTGATTTCGAGACTGTGAAGTCAGTTTTTTTTTTCTAATGAGATTTTGTTTTGGCTTACAGATTATGACCTAAATTTCAATAGGCTTCTTTTTCTAGTGAAATTTTGATGATTCTCAAGTCACATAGTGCGTTTGTTATTAAAATAAAATGGATTAGAAATATTTATATGTAAATGATGTCATAGAATATCATTAAAAAAAAAGTGAAATTAAAATAACAACCATCTCAAACAAATAGTATCTAACTGAACGCGAAGAAAAAAAAAAACAAAAAAAAACAAATACTCGAACAGTTTCCCATAGTGGAAGCCAAAATAGGCCCATAGTGGAAGCCCAAGTCCGCCTATAGTGAAAGCTCAAGTCGCCCCATAGTGGAAGCCTAAATAGGCCCATACTGGAAGCCCAAATCGGCCCATAGCGGAATCCCAAGTCAGCCCATAGCTGATGCCCAAGTGGCCCATAGCGGACGCACAAGTCGGCCCATAGTGGAAGCCCGAGTCTAAGTAGGCCCATAGTGGAATCCCAGGTAGGCCCATTGTAGAAGCCGAAGTCGGCCCATAGCGGAAGCCCAAGTGGGCCCATAGTGGAAGCAATACCGGCCCATAATGAAAGCCCATATCGGCCCATAGCGAAAGCACAACTTGGCCCATAGTTGAAGCCCAAGTCTAAGTCGGCCTATAGTGGAAGCCCAAGTCTAAGTCCATAGTGGAAGTCCAGGTAGGCCCATAGTGGAAGCCCATATTGGCCCATAGTGGAAGTCCATGTCGACCCATAGTGGAAGCCCAGGACGGCCCATAGTGGACGCCCATGTCGGCCCATAGTGGAAGCCCAGGTAGGCCCGTAGTGGAAGCCCAGGACGGCCCATAGTGGAAGCCCAAGTCGGCCCATAGTTGAAGCCCAAGTCTAAGTCGGCCTATAGTGGAAGCCCAAGTCTAAGTCCATATGGAAGCCCAGGTAGGCCCATAGTGAAGGCCCAAGTCGGCCCATAGTGGAAAGACCAAGTCTAAGTCGGCCCATAGTGGAAGCCCAGGTAGGCCCATAATGGAAGCCCATATTGGCCCATAGTGGAGGCCCGAGAGGCCCAAAGTGGACGCCCAGGTTGGCCCATAGTGGAAGACCAAGTCGGCCCATAGTGGAAGGTCAAGTCGGCCGTCGGTCCAAAGTGGAAGCCATGTCGGCCGTCGGCCCAACTCGGCCCATAGTGGAAGCCCAAGTCAGCCCATGGTGGAAGCCCAAGTAGACCGTCGGCCGTAGTCGGCCCATCGTGGAAGCCCAACTCGGACCGTCGTGAAGCCCAGGTAGGCCCATAGTGGAAGCCCAACTCGGCCCATAGTGGAAGCCCATGTCAGCGCATAGTGGAAGCCCAAGTAAGCCGTCGGCCCAACTCGGCCCATCGTGAAGCCCAGGTATGCCCATAGTGGAAGCCCAAGTAGGCCCATCGTGGAAGCCCAGGTAGGCCCATAGTATAAGCCCAGGTAGGCCCATAGTATAAGCCCAAGTCGGCCCATAGTGGAAGCCTAGTCGTCCCATAGTGGAAGCCCAAGTCGGCCCATAGTATAAGCCCATGTCGGCCCATAGTGGAAGCCCAGGTAGGCCCATAGTATAAGCCCAAGTCGGCCCATAGTGGAAGCCCAGGTAGGCCCAAGTCGGCCCATAGTGGAAGCCCAAGTCGGCCGTCGGCCCATAGTGGAAGCCCAGGTCGGCTCATAGTGGAAGCCCAACTCGGCCCATATTTGAAGCCCAACTCGGCCCATTGTGGAAGCCCGTGTCGGCCCATATTGGAAGGCCGAATAGGCCCATAGTTGAAGCCCATTCGGCCCATAGTGTGGAAGCCCGAACCGGCCCGTAGTGGAAGCCCATTTCGGCCCATAGTGTGGAAGCCCATTTCGGCCCATATTGGAAGCCCAAATCGGCCCATTAGTGAAAGTCCATGTCGGCCCATAGTTGAAGCCCAGGTCGGCCCATATTTGAAGTCAATGTCGGCCCATAGTGGAAGCCCATATCTTCCCATAGTGGAAGCCCAAATTGGCCCATAGTGGAAGCCCATGTCGGCCCATATTGGAAGCCCATGCCGTCCCATATATGAAGCCCAAGCCGGCCCATATCGGAAGCCCTATCCGGCATATTGTGGAAGCCCAATCCGTCCCATTTTGGAAGCCCAAGTCGGCCCATAGTGGAAGCCCAAATTGGCCCAAATGGAAGCCCAAAGTGACCCATAATGGAAGGCGAAATTGGCCCATATTTTAAGCCCACGATGGCCCATAATGGATCCGAACTTAGTCCATTGTGGTGGAAGCCCGTTTTCTTAAACTGCCGTATCTAGCATGGGCCTCCATTATACGAGGGAGAAATAAATCCCTTTACCCTCCGCACTTCCTTGTCCCACCTTCTGTTCTTTGCTCAATCCTCTCCCGATGCCAATCGCTTTGCTTCCCCTGCGTATGTTTCAAGGTGGGATGAAACCTAGCATTTATTTTGATGCACGCTTTCCTGAATCTTCAATGGCACAGAATGGTGGCTTAGTATTTTTTTTTTTTTTTTTCTTTTAAGAAAATGGACAAATAAATCAGAATAAATTACACGTTTCAAAACATGATACGTGAAACACATGAAGATTGATAAATCACCGTCACTCTGAATCACGGGTTTACTCGTACAAGTCGCAACGAGTAGACGAGCAGACTCATTTCATCCTGAAACAGACTGCGTTCTTATCAGTTATCAGAAACGAAGCGACCTCCCAGATACCTCACACAAATTTCCCGGCACTGGAGCCGTCATGGACGCCGCCGACAACGCATACCACCACCATATGCACGGAATGGCGCCGCCGAAGGATTCCTCCACCGCATCGCCGGAGATGACGCACGGCACGATGATGCTGCACATGACCTTCTTTTGGGGAGACAACGCCGAGATTCTGTTCAATCGCTGGCCTGGCGAACGCGGCGGCATGTACGCCTTGGCCTTGATCTTCGTTTTCGTGCTTGCTTTGATCGTCGAGTGGCTTTCGCATAGCCGATTGATTAAGGAAGATTCGAGCGCCGCGGCGGCAAGATTGATCCGGACTCTTTTGCATAGGGTTAGGGTTGGATTGGTGTATTTAGTGATGCTAGCCGTCATGTCGTTCAATGTTGGAGTGTTTTTGGTAGCCATCGGTGGCCATTGCCTCGGATTCTTGCTGTTTGGGAGTAGATTGTTCAAGAAATCGGCCGTGGCTTCTGGTAAATCCTCTGTTCTTCCTTCTCTTAGTTGTTGAAATCACGATGAAGGAATATGAAAATTTTCAATCCAATTGGTTTAGGTTTCGATTCAATTGTTAATTTTGGGACAAAATTATATAATTAAATTTATTAGGCACAAAATTATATAATTTTAAATTTTATCGGAATTTAATAAAATAATTAAAAATAAAGAGATAATTAAGAATTTTTAAAATTGTTTTACATACTATCTAGTTTCCATTTTTTTATATATATATTCATAGGAAATAAAATAAAATAAAATTTCACTATAAAAGGAAATTTATACAAATTTATGTTAGAAAGTACATTTTTAAACTTAGAAATAATAATTGGGTTTGCAATTTAGATTAATGTGTTGAAAAATATGAAGAGGGAAAAAAAGAAAATATGTAGAGTCAGCCTCAAGAACAGGCAGCCAGTTACATCGCGACACGTGGAAAAGGATTCAACAAAACTAAGGCGGCGGAGACGAGACACGGTTGCTAACTAATGTCCTAAACCTTGAAAGTCTAAACAAAATATCATTAAAAAATATCTGCGCACTTTTTTAACATTTTAAAAAATTAAATGCTAGATTTAAAAAATAGCATTAATATGTTTTACTTTAAAAAATAAAAAAGTTTAATTTTTTTTTTTTTATAATTAATATATAAATATAGCCATACTTTTACTTTTCACAGTGAGTATTTTTTAAAGTTATATAAATAGTGTGTATATATGTACAATAATCCAAATGAGTGTATGGGAATATAAATTGGGAAACACTATTAGGAGAATAATTATTTTAATTTTTTCGACAACGGAACAACAATTGCACGACACTTTTTCTAACTCGACCAACAAGCCAATTGTGCACTTTGCGGACAATTTAAACGTATGATCGAGTTTCGAGTCATGTCTGCTAGAAAAATGTTTTATAAAACGTGAGCGAAGAAATGCATTAAAAACATTTAGGCTAAAAGCAAAAAAAACAACAATCCCGGTTAAGTGATTTTGGAGAAGGGTTATACACCCCAAGTTGACATGATAAGAATAGTAAAAGCAAGTAAAAGTAGTTTGGACAACAAGTATTCGACAATTATGACCCTGACATCTAATATACAACTACAATTAACATACAACTACAATTAACACGCTTTGGACAAACATAACCATAAGACTTAGCATAGAATGATTGTATGTCTTTAAGAGTGAGAGTATTTTCCTACTCGACACTCCCTTAGACACGCGTTGAGGCTCGTCTATTGACGAGTTAGTCGGCTCCGAAGGCCTCATTATCCTTGTTTGCCTGACATGATCTCTTCATTTAGCTTAGCCAAGACGTTCAAATCTTGTTTGAATTAGGACACCAGAAAAGGCCAAATGCTACCAACTTGAGGGTATTGCATGCCCGCAAACTGTTTGATAAAATGTCTGAGAGAGTTTTTGTGATGAAAAAGGGCTCTACGTGGAGGTAAGCCAGTTGTTTATTTCTTGTCTTTGGCGTATGATTTATGCTGAACTGCAGCTGTAAGTAACACTGTCGGCAGCTGTGTTTCGTTGCTGCATGAAGAGTTTAAGAAGAAGACAGATTTTGTTGTCCCAATCTGAGTTAGAAGAACAGTCATGGAGGGACTCGTGATACTAGAAGAACAACATTTTGTTATGTGTTCATACTTCCACCATCGTTTTCTGATGTCGATGTTCATCAAAATGTCGATATTTTAATTTATAACCGTCCAAGTCCACTTTTAGCAAATATTGTTTGTTTTAGCTTGTTATGTATCGCCGTCAGCCTCATAGTTTTAAAATGCGTCTATTAGGTAGAAGTTTCCAGACACTCATAAGAAATGTTCTATTCCCCTTTTCAATCGATGTGAGATCTCACAATCTACTCCTTTGGGGACCAGCGTTGATATGAACCAAGAGACATCAATCATACAATATGCTTCAATGAAGATGTGAAGAAAAGGTTGTCAAAATTATCAAAAGATGTTTCAATTCATGCTACATTGAAGAAGAATAAAGTTTGATTGTTGTAAATTTTGGGTGGGTTATAATTTAGAGTAATTTAGAGTTATTGTATTTTAAGACTTTTCATTTAATTTCGGTTACATTTACATAATGGCTAATTATGGCCATAAAGTGTGAATGTTACAACTTTTGAAATGCCTTTAATAGTTTCATTTTGAAGCTATATAAAGCCATCTATGTTGTATTTGTAAGAAAGACTTGGAAAATATAGTAAAAAAAGCATTTGTGCTTTTCTTTAGCCAATGGCTAAGTTTCTTTGCAATTCTATGTAGTTTAGGTTGCATGTAGAATCATTCAAGCTCGACATGATCAACCTTGCTTGTGGAGTGATTCGAATCTCAAACAAGTGTTTGAGATATTTGATCAACAAGAATTATTGAAGCTAGACATGATCGATCTTGCTTCTGGAGTGATTCGAATCTCAAACAAAGTGTTCTTGGCTTGAGATATTCGATCTACAAGGTAATCCGAATCTTACTCCCCTTGTAGTTGATTCCTTATCGTATCAAGCGTCCTCGCTGACACACCGCTTAGGCTGTGATACTATTTGTAACCGCCGAAGCCCACTTTTAGTAGATATTGTCCGCTTTAGCACATTACGCATCATCGTCAGCCTCACAGTTTTAAAATGCATCTATTAAGTAGGATTTTCCACAACTCTATAAGGAATGTTTTTGTTCTCCCTCCAATGATATGAGATCTCATATAATTTAAAAAAATTTAGATGAAAATACAATGGCCCGATATTCCCCCATGACATCCCTATGACATGACCACGTTTGATTCTAAAAATGAACACTATTTTCATATACCAATATGGATCATTTCATATAAGGTTATTTTTCGTGAGGGTCAAAGGAAAAGGACCGACGATTTGATAATATTATCACTTTAGATCATTCTCAATCGGACATAGTCTCAATTTCTTCATATACTCGAGCATGAGACATTACATTATACTTCCTAAATAAGTTTAAATGTTTAGATTAAAATATTATTTTGGTCTCGTAATTTTGGAACATGTTTCAATCTAGCCATGCTTACAAATATTCAAATTTAATTAACCAAACTTTATTCAAAGTAAAATGATTAAATGCATTTAATTTGTACATGATACAAAAAGGAATATTCGGCTTTTACCAAGTCCAAGCAATTTCAAATTATATTATAATTTAATTTTTTATTATTTTCCACTCTATCATCGTTCTAGGTTATATTTTAGGGATATTTAGGTCTTTTATCTTATTTACTGTTATATATAATTAAATTTCAAAGTAAAAAAATTTAGAGGTATTAAAGATACAACAAAAATAATTAAATTATTTAAACAATTATTGTAAAGGATTGAATACAATCTTATTTGAAAATTATTACCAAAGGATTTCCATCTAAAAAAATCCCCCTTTTTTCTTTTTTTCACATAGCAGTATTAATTTCCCAAACGTTATTTACGGTTTTGCCCCTAACAGAAAATTATTACCCAAGGATTTCATCTAAATGCCCTCTCGCGGGTTGGTGAAGCTATTTTAGTACGTCCATTCTTGAGGAAGATCCACGTCGATTTGGCTGGTCGCCGCCGTTGTCGCCGCCTCCGCCGCCGCTGTCGCTGTCGCTTCCAGATGACTTTTCTTATCGGTATGTGACTTTGTTCTGGCACTAGCCGCAGCTTCTGTTAAACAAGAAACATAAATGAATAACAAATAGGAAGAATCTGTCGTCATTAGCCGTAGCTTCTGTTAAACAAGAACATAAATGAATAATTAAATAGGAATCTCTAGTCAGATGATAAGAGAATCAACCAGATCGAATAGAGACATAGAAGTGGGTAAGCGAGCAATTATGTGTGGAACGACCGCAAACTGTTTGTGAAAATGCCACAGAGAATTTTGTGATAGGAAATTGAAAATTTACCTCTTAAAGCTGTGAAGCCAGTGATCTTTTCTCTTGTCTCGTTGTCCATTCTGTCGTAGTGAAGTTGTAAGGCTTGTAGGACTCTCACGGGTATTAGAACAGTGGAGCAGCCTGAGATAGGGAAGGGGAGGGAAAATGATCAATTTGCTTAGTGTTTTGCCTTGTATGGGAAGACAACGCATCTCCATTACAGAATTTAACTATAGCGGGCAGTGCAAGTGGTTTAATGATTCAATTGGGTGTCGTTGTCAGCCACCTCCTTTTAAAGGGATGGTTGAAGATTCCATCAAAGAAGTGGACAAGTTTTGTCGGCCCAACCGTGAATGGTTGGAGGTCTTGTAGATTCAAAGCATTTGGGAGGACACGGAATCTCTATGAATCCAAGGAAAGATAAGAAAAATAAAAGGAGCGGTATGAGGAGAAGTCCCAAAATGCATCACAGTAATGGTTTCAATGGCAATTCATAGATGGAAAATCCCAACAAATGGGTTGTGAGATGCCACGTCCGTTGGAGAGAGGAACGAAACATTACTTATAAGGGTGTGGAAACCTCTCCCTAACAGACGCGTTTTAAAACCGCAAGGCTGACAGCAATAGGTAATGAGCCGAAGCGGACAATATCTGCTACCGGTGAGCTTGGACTACTACAAATGGTATCAGAGCCAGACACCGAACGGTATGCTAGCGAGGACGTTGGGTCCCCAAAGGAGGTGAATTGTGAGATCTCACATCGGTTGGAGAGAAGAACAAAACATTCCTTAAGGTGTGGAAACCTCTATAGACGAGTTTTAAAACCGTGAAACAGACAGCAATAGATAACGGGTTAAAAGCAAACGACATCTAATAGTGATGGACTTGGACTGTTACACGAGGTTAACTCCAACTAAGAAATGACTTAAAAAACCAGCTACTTATTGAATGAAAGGAGATATTACCCTTTTTCTTGGGCGGCTGTGGTGGCTGAGGACATGGTGCTGGACGGTTGTAGTTGACATGGCGGGGCAAGAACACTCCTGTCCCCGATGACCCTCCTCCTGGTTTTGCCCCTGAATTGGCTTGTGAGGTGCTTCCTTGAGCCTGCTTGGCTTGTGTCGCGGCGGAGCTTTTTTGCTTCATAAACTGCTGCTGCTGCTGGTTCTGCCTCCGCTTCTGATTCTACAAGGAGGGTTGAGTTTTGAATCAGCAAAAAAAGAGTGTAAGAAACAGAGAGATTTGGGAGCTGAGGGGGCTGAGATGGATTTGAATTTCATCTCACTTTGGAAGAGGAAGATCTGGTTCCTCCATGTTGGGGGCTTGTTTGGATTGATTTATCATTTGTGCTAAATTTTTTCATCTTCTCCAGTTTGCTGAAAACGTTGTGTGAAATATCCAGCCCTCCACGCTCTACAACCACCGGCGTCGATGGCGGCGATGGCTCCTTGGAAGGCCCTTCTGGACTTCCGTAGCTGCTCCCAGCGCTAGAGCCTAGTGGTGACCACAGCGTTGAAATTGGCGAACTAGACAAACCCCATGGCTACCCAAAACAGAAGACACCCACAAAATAATGAAAACAGAGGAACAAGGAATTTGACAAACGCCCTGAAATCTCTTCCACTCCTTACTAAATTCAATAC